AGCAGCAACCCGCTGCTGCACCTCCTACAGCAGCACTCGGAAGGCTCCACAGACGGAGGCAGGAGACGAACGGTAATCAGGCACTTACTGCTGCTGCTGCTGCTGCTGTTCCAGCTGCTGCTGAGGGCAAATATGCCTTTTTTCTTCACTACAATGAGCAAATTTACAAAAATTAAATTTAGTTTAGATATTAAATTTGTTTAATAAAAAAATACTTTTTGAATTTGTTCTTGCAGGGAGCTTTGTGGGCGGCCGGCAGCAGCAGCAGGACTGCAGCAGCAAGAGGAAAGGCCCGGAAGGCCTCACCCCTTGCCACAGACAGAGAGGGACAGATTATTGCTGCCAGCAAAGGCAAGCAGCAGCAGCAGCAGCAGCAGCAGCACGGGAGGCAGCGGGGAGCAGAGACAGGCTACTGCAGCGAAGCTGACCAGGCGCTTGACGCAGCAGCAGCAGCAGCGGCAGCAACAGCCCCAGCAGCAGCAGCAACACCACCACCACCAACAGCAGCAGCAGCAGCACCAGCAGCAGCATTTTCGCTCATGACCCCCACAGGGCCCCTTGCCCTCAGCGCTGTGCCGCTGCTGCCAGGGGGGACTTGGCTGCCTTTGCTGCCGCAGCCACATGTCTTTACCCCTCGCTCTGCTGCAGCACGGCAGCTGCGCCAGCAGCAGCAGCAGCAGCAGCAGCAGAAGTTGCAGCTGCAGCAGCAAGTGGTGATGCAGCACCACCCGCAGCAACAAGGGAGACCCGCGGAGGACCAGTGGTCCGCTCTTTCAACAACAGAAACACCCACAAAAGCTTATGAAAACGAATTGCTGCTGCAGCAGCAGCAGCAGCAGCGGCAGGGAGCACAGTTGCTGCGAAGAACAAACAGCAGAGGCATCGGCAAGTGCTATGAAAACGGCGATGACAGAGAATTCCTGCTGCAGCAGCAGCAGCTGCTGCAACCTGTGCAGCAGCAGCGAAACCTCCAGCAGCCGCAACAACTGCAGCAGCAGCAGCAACTGATGTCGCAGCCTTTGTGGAAGCTGCCAGTCACACCGACAGGGCAGAGCCCCAAAATGGCTGTTCCAGTGCAGCAGCAACAGCCGCAACAGCAACAGCTGCAGCGGCAACAGCAGAAGCTGCTGCAGCAGCGGCTGCTGCAGCAGCAGCAACAAGTTGATGGGTCTTACCAACTACCTGCTCAGGGGTACGGCCCTCTTAGCCAGCAGCAGCAAAGGCAGCAACTCCAGCAGCAGGCATCTCTCTTCCTCCCTCGCCAGCAGCAGCAGCAGCTGCAGCAGCAACAGCTGCAGCAACAGCTGCAGCAACAGCAGCAGCAGCAGCAGACGAGGCCAGTCAAGGGCCTGCTGAATCAACGCAACGCCCAGAGCCTGAAGGACTACCTTGGCCAAAGCTATCCAGCTCAACGACAGCAACTGCAGCAGCTGCAGCCGCAACCGCAGCAGCTGCAGCAGCTGCAGCAACAGCAGCAAACACGTCCTGCTGCTGCTGCTGCTGTTAGTCCAGCTGCTGTCTTGCCAGGAAGCTCTCAGGGACTGGACCAGCCGCCCTTGTGGCAACGTAACTTCTTTCAGCAGCCGCGCATGCAGCAGCAACAACTGCAGCAACAGCAGCAGCAGATCTTCCAGCTGCAGCAGCAAGCGATGCGTCAAGGATTCCAGCAGCAGCCCCAACAACTTCGCCAGGCACAGCAGCAGCAACAAATGCTGCTGCAGCAACAGAAGCAGCGGTATCTGCAGCTGCAGCAGCAACAGCTGCAGCAGCAGCAGCTGCAGCAGCTGCAGCACAGTCGAGGGGCCTTTTCCAGGGCCTTTCCCGCCCAGAAGGTGCAGCAGCTGCCCCAGCTGCTGCAGCAGCAGCAGACGGCGCTGCGCCAGCCAGCTGCACCAAGAGCAGCAGCAGCAGCAAATGCTCCTGGCATAACTGCAGCAGGAACGCTGCCGCTGAGGAGCAGCTCCCGTTCTTCGCTTTTGAGTCATTAGCAGCCGTTGCAACAGCTGCAGCAGCAGCAGCTGCAGCAGCAGCATCTGCTGCAGTACCAGCAGCAGCTGCAGCAGCAGCATCTGCTGCAGTACCAGCAGCAGCTGCAGTAGCAGCATCTGCTGCAGTACCAGCAGCAGCTGCAGTAGCAGCATCTGCTGCAGTAGCAGCAGCAACAGCTGCAGTAGTAGCAGCAACAGCTGCAGCAACGGTTGCCGCAAAGTGAATAACCACCAGGAAAGCTTCATAAATCACTTGAATAGTTCTGCGCTCAGCAGCAGCAGCAGCAGCGACACCAGCAGCAACAGCAGCGGCAGCAGCAGCAGCGCACGCTGACAATTGTTTTGGCCTGCGTGGACAGGAAAAAGTGGTTTTCTTCCTGTATGTTTCAAGCTAGCTGTTTTGCAGCAGCTAGCCCTCGAGGCAGCAGCAGCAGCAGCAACAGCTAGCCACCGAGGCAGCTGCAGCAGCAGCTAACCAAGGTGATGTGTGAACAGCTAGCTGCTGCTGCAGCTTTTCAAAGCAACTGCCCACATAAGTGTTTTCTGCAATATCTGCTGCTAAACACCCAGCAAACAGGTGCAGCAGCAGCAACAGCAGCAGCAGCAACAGATTACATATGGGCTTGAGTATTAGCAATGCACGGAAGCGTAGAAGCACCGTCGCTGCAGCAGCTCAATCCTCTAAAAAGCTCAGCGATCTAGCTAGCCAGCTAGATAGCTAGCCAGCTAGATGGCTAGCCAGCAAGATAGCTAGCTAGCTAGTTAGCTGATTGGGTGAACAGATAGCTTCATAGGTAGGTGGATGCATAGAAAGCTAGCTACACAGATACACAGCTAGCTAGCTAGCTGGCTAGCTAGCTACTTGAATAGATAGCTAGGGAGGCAGGCAAATAGCTAGGTACATGCCTAGCTAGCTAGCTATGTACATGCCTAGCTAGCTACCTAGATACATGCCTAGCTACCTAGCTAGGTACATGACTACCTAGCTAGCTAGGTACATGCCTGGCTAGCTAGCTAGGTACATACCTAGCTAGCTAGCTAGCTAGCTAGCTAACGGGTAGGTAGATAGGTAGATTGATGGCTGGCTAGCTATCTAGTTAGGTAGGTAGGTGGATAGATAGCTAGCTAGCTGGATAGCTGGCTAGCTAGAAAGTTAATGGGCTGGATAGCTGCCTTCTGCATGCAGCCGCTATTTGCTTCTGTTGCAGCTGTCCCTGCTGCGGCTGTCGCTGCTGCTGCGGCTGCTGCTGGTGTTGCTGTTGCAACCGCTGGTGCCGCAGCTGCTGCTGCAGCTGCTGCTGCAGCTGCTGCAGCTGCTGCAGCAGCCGCTGCTGTCTCAGGTACTCGTGTTGGTGCTGGTGCTTATGCTGCAGCTGCTGCTGTAACTGCCGCTGCAGCTGCTGCAGCAGCAGCAGCTGCTGCTGCTGTCAGTTCCTTCTTCTGACTGAGTGGAGTGTCACTTCCTGCAGCAGCAAGCGAGGACAGCAGCAAGAGAGTTTGAAGTGCAAAAGAAATAAAATGGAAACAGATAACCAAATAAATTTAATTAATCTATTTACTTTTACAAATTAATAAATTAAACAAACTTTTTAATTAAAACAAGTAAATGAAGACAGGGGGACATAAGAAGCTAACTCACATAATAGATCTTGTGGGGCCCCAGCCTGAGCAGGAGCAGCAGCAGCAGCAGCAGCGGCAGCAGCAGTAGCAGCGGCAGCAGCAGCAGCCAGGAGGCCCTAAATGAGTGATAAGTTTGCTTCTCCTTTGTTTTATTTCAATTCATTTAAATTATAATTGGTTATTTTATTTAATTTATTTTTAATCATAAGTTATTATTTAAAACTTGCCATTTATTTTAAATATTTATTCTGTCTTATTTTGCCTTTCACTCAGCTGCGGGCCCTAAAAATAATATATTCATTTAGTTACTTATTTGCACATTTACCAATTCATTATTATTTATTTATTTATTTATTCATCTATTTATTTATTATTTATTTGTTAATTTACTTATTTATCTCTTGATTTATTATTTATTTATTCATTCGTTTAATTTTTTTTCGTTTCATCTTTTGCCACGAAGGGAATTAAATGGCTGTGTAACTGACTAATTAATTTTTAATTAATTAGATAAGTAAGTAATCAATTAATTAATTGAATATTTATTTATTTATTTATTCATTTATTATTTATTTATTTATTATTTAATTTATTTGTTTTTATTATTTTTGGCTCCAGCGTTTACCCGGGGCGAAGGCCGAGGCGCCTGCAAATCCGCAAAAGAAAGGAAGTCGAGTTTTTTACTTTTAATTAATTAAATAATTCACTTAAGCATTTAATAAATGATTTAAATGCTGCTGCTGCTGCTGCTGCTGCTGTTGTTGCTGCTGCTGCTACTGCTGCTGCTCACCGCGTCTCCCCAGGACACATTCCAAACAGCGCCCAGTTTAGCGGGGCTACGGAGTGGGCCCCCAGCTGCAGCAGCAGCAGCAGCAGCAACAACAACAGCAGTGGCAGCAGCACCAGCAGCAGCAGCAGCAGCAACAGCAGCAGCAGCAGTAACAGCAGTAGCAGCAGCAACAGCATCAGCAGCAGCAGCAGCAGTCAGTGGCAACAGCAGCAGTCAGTAGCAACAGCAGCCGCAGCAGCAACAGCAGCAGCAGCGGACGGCCACTTTAGAGCTGCGAGCTCGTGGCTCCGTGCATGCACGAAGCGGCGATATAAACTGCATTTAAAGTCTTCCGAAGTAATTAATTTTTTCTTTTTTATTTTTTCTTTTTAATGCATTTAACTAATCCAAAACAGCTCCTTTTAATAACGTCTTTTTATTCTCCAGTCAGCCCATAAATGCAGCAAAAGGCGCTTTTTAATGCAGCTTTTTGTTGCATGCATTTGCCTTAAAACACAAAGAGATATAATATATATATTTTATATAATCATACATAGTTATGCATGCATTTGTACAATATATATTTTTATATATATTCATATATAACTATATAAATAAAAGCTTATATATATTTAAGTCAAGCAGTTCTTTAAGTTTTCTCCCCATTCAATATTTTGTGGAGGTATCCGGGTGTACGTACACTCGCGCAGGCGAGAAGAAATACTTGAAAGGACTCACTTTGAATTCTTGCTGAGCCGTTCCAACGACTGTTTTAAAATTGCTTTCTTTTTCACCCTTTTTATTCTTTTCATCCCTTTTATCCCTTTGATCCTTTTTATCTTCTCTTTCGTCTTCCGCCGCCTGCGATTGAGCTGTCTAGACACCGCAGACAAACCCTAATCTGGAGTGTACGCTCACCTGCTGCAGCAGCTCGGAGAAGTCCAGACCCGGCGCTGCGCCGCAAAAGGAGAAAACAAACAAAATAAATAACTAATTTGCATTTAATTTAAATAATTGAATAAAATGGATCCAGTAGGGGAAAAAACGGCGAAAAATAACACTCTTGCTGCCGAGCTGACCATACACCCGAAGCGTCGTGTGCACCCAGTCGCCCTTCCTCGTGTTGCATTCTTCATTTTTATTTTCTTTAATTGCTCGAAATGAAGTATCTTTTTCTATTTCTTCTTTATTTAAAGGCACAAACTCTCCACTGGCGGGCCCTGCAGCTGCGGCGGCCGCCCACGCTGGCAGCAGCAGCGGAGAAAAGTCGAAGAAAGTGAAGAAAAAAGGGAGAAAAAAGCGACAAAACATCTTTAAAACAAATTAAATGGTAGTTTTGTGTTATTTAAATGCCATCAAATGAAAAAAGAAGAAAAAAAAGTGGCGAGAAGCAGTCCGCGGAGGCGCCGTTTTTGCAGGTTTCAGGTGTACAGACACTTCCAAGCCGGCGGTGTCAGTTGTGCGGGGACAACTTTGTTCACTTTTATTTAATTTAAAAACAAATTTTAATTCTTTTTGCAGACATATAATGTCGCAACTGGCACGGAGTGCATTTTAATTCGACTCAGGTCCGCCAGAGCAACAAAAGCTAAACCCTAAACCCTAAACCCTGAAGCAGCTATTTTTGCGTTTTTACCCCGTAGGCGAAATAACGCAGGCCAGTCCTTTCCAGGAGCTTCTTCCGTTTTTTAATTTGCAGTAATATCTTCTTCTTGTTTGAATTTAGTTATGACTTTATTTACAATTCTAATTTTTAGTTTTTGATTTTTGAAAAGAGCGCTAAAGAAAAGCAACGAAAGTTAAGAGAAAAGAAAAGCAGCTTTGGCTGATTGCTGCGGGTATAAGAGACCCCTGGGCGCAGCGCCTAACCCTAAACCCTAAACCCTAAACCCTCGGCCGTCTGAGCTGGACCACTGGTTATCTCTTGGCACAAAGTGGGGCCTTCGGCACGGGGCAGTTTTCTGCAGCTGCTGCGCTAGAGACTTTAGGGTTTAGAAGAGAATTTTTAGAGAGGATAATTAAAAATGAAAAACAAATTTAATTGCATTTAAAATTCAAATGAAAAAAGACAATTACAAATAAATAATAATTTTGAAAGATGGCTCAAAAGGAGGACAAGTAGGGGCGAAGAAAAGCGGCGAAAATGAACTTGCCGTCTTCTGTCAGGACCCTGAACAGACTAGGGTTTAGGCTTTAGGGTTTAGGGTTTAGGGTTTTGGCTGCAAGCTGCACACAAGAGGAGCTCAGGCACCCTCTGGTGTCTGCATTATGATCGAAGCAATGCGAAGAAACACCTCAGGGATCTAAACCCTAAACCCTAAACCCTAAACCCGGAACCCTAATGGCGCAGTACAAAGTGTGCAGCAGCACTGGAGAGTGCTAGAGGGAGGCACAACAAGACACGTTCAACGGGGAAATTAAATAATTGTTTTTGAAATAAATCCAAATAAGAAGTTTTGGTCTTTTTCATTTGGCAGAAGACACAGGACGGCAGCGCATGCATGCTGCTGCTGCTGCTGCTGCCGCTGCTGCTGCGCAGTGCGGCGGTGTTCAGGGTTCTGCAGTTCGTTTGTGTTGTTTGTTCTTTCGTTTTGAAAATAAATATTAAAAAGAAATAAAATGAAATAAAATAAATTGCAAAAGAGTGAGAGCGGGAGCTGCACAGGAGAAGCGGCCGGCAGACTGAAGGCAGCCACGAGCAGTGTAGCTGCTGCTGCTGCTGCTGCTGCTGCTGCAGCACCAGCGGCCGTTGCTGCATGTGGCCCGGAGATCGGCCCCGGAGCTCGTTTTTTGCTTCTTTTTCTTCCACATTTGCTTTTATTGAATAATTAAATGGAATAAGTTCGCAAAAAGGAGAAAAGCAGCACAAACTGGCAACAAAGTCGTGGCTCTGGGGCTGCAGCAGAAGCCCCTCCCCCCCGGCGCTTGCAGATCTGCTGCTGCTGCTGCGGCTGCAACGGCGGCAGCAGCAGCGCTGCTGTTTGTCTCTTTCAAGTTTTATTTCCCAATTCTTTCGAAACACCAACACAAGTGATATGATCTAGCCCAGTCTCTGGCCGCGCGTCCCCTCAGCTCAGCCCAGCAGCAGCCCGCGCCGCGGCAGCAGCCGCAGCAGCAGCAGCAGCAGCAGCAGCAGCAGGCCGGCGGCGCGTACGGAAAAGCGTCGCAGGGGGGCGCGGCGGCCGGCGCCGCTGCGCAGCGGGCGAAGGCGAAGACGCAGGAGGAGCTGCTGCAGGAGAAGGCGCGGAAGTGGCAGCAGCTGACGACGAAGCGGTACAGCTGGCGGCAGCAGGTGGGGTGTACGTACACCGAAAAAGAGCCGATGCCGCCGGAACACCTGCGGAAACTGGTGAAGGACCACGGAGACATGAGCAGCAGGAAGTTCCGGCAGGACCGGCGGGTGTACCTGGGGGCGCTGAAGTTCCTGCCGCATGCAGTCTTCAAGCTGCTGGAAAACATGCCCATGCCCTGGGAGCAGGCGCGGAACGTGGCGGTGCTGTACCACGCGACGGGGGCCATAACTTTCGTAGCAGAAACCCCCTTTGTGATAGAGCCCGTGTACCTGGCGCAGTGGGGCTCCTGCTGGATCTTGATGCGGCGGGAAAAGCGGGACAGAAGGCACTTCAAACGCATGCGCTTCCCCCCCTTCGACGACGAAGAGCCGCCGCTGGACTACGGGGAGAATGTGCTGGCGGTGGAGCCGCTGGAGGCCATCCGGATGGAGCTGGACGAGGAGGAGGACGCGGCGGTGGCGGAGTGGCTGTACTGCAGCAAGCCGCTGCAGCAGCAGCAGCAGCACGTGCCGGGGCCCAGCTACCGGCGCTGGCGGCTGGAGGTGCAGCAGCTGGCCGTGCTGCAGCGGCTCGCGCACCAGCTGCTCTCCGACCTGCAGGACCTCAACTACTTCTACCTCTTCAACCTGGAGGCCTTCTGCACGGCCAAGGCCCTCAACCTCGCCATCCCGGGGGGCCCCAAGTTCGAGCCCCTCTTCAGGGACTCCCAGGAGGAGGAGGAGGACTGGAACGAGTTCAACGACGTCTCCAAAATCATCATTCGCCAGCAAATCCGCACGGAGTACAGAGTCGCCTTCCCCCACCTCTACAACAACAGGCCCCGCTCCGTCGCCCTCCCGCCCTACCACTCCCCCGCGGTTTCTTTCGTCAAGCCCGAAGACCCGGAGCTTCCCGCCTTCTACTTCGACCCCATCATCAACCCCCTCCCCGCCTACAAGACCAACAAGGACTTCGACGCGCTCGCGGGTGTCTAGGGTTTCGGGTTTGGGGTTTGGGCTCGGCTTCGGCTTTGGGGTTTGGGCTCGGGTTTGGGGTTTGGGCTCGGGTTTGGGGTTTGGGCTCGGCTTCGGGTTTGGGGTTTGGGCTCGGGTTTGGGGTTTGGGTTCGGGTTTGGGGTTTGGGCTCGGGTTCGGGTTTGGGGGGGTGGGTGGGCTGGGCGGCGTGGCGTGGGGTTTGAGGGGTTGGTGGCTTCTGGGGCCAGGGTTTCGCGCCGGGCAGGGCTTAGGGTTTGGGGTTTGGGGTTTGGGGTTTGGGGTTTGCGCAGACCCGTCGGTGGTGGAGGGCTTCGAGCTCCCGCGGTGCGTGCGGGCCTTTCTGGAGGAGAGCCCGCTCTGTACAGACACCACGGCGGCGGGGATCTCTCTCTACTGGGCCTGCAGGCCCTTCAACTTGAGGGCGGGGCGCATGCGAAGGGCCCAGGATGTTCCTTTAGTTCAAACTTGGTTTCGAGAACACGCGCCGCAAAACTACCCCGTGAAGGTGCGGGTTTCTTACCAGAAACTGCTCAAGTGCTGGGTGCTGTGCCACCTGCACTCGCGCCCGCCCAAGTCGCTGAAGAAAAGAAACCTCTTCCGCGTCTTCAAAACCACCAAGTTCTTCCAAGTCACCGAAATTGACTGGGTCGAGGCCGGGCTGCAGGTCGCGCGCCAGGGATACAACATGCTCAACCTCCTCATCCACCGCAAAAACCTCAACTACCTCCACCTCGACTACAACTTTAACCTCAAGCCCGTCAAAACCCTCACCACCAAGGAACGCAAAAAGTCCCGGTTCGGAAACGCCTTCCACCTCTGCAGGGAAATCCTCCGCCTCACCAAACTCACCGTCGACTCCCACGTCCAGTTCCGTCTCGGCAACGTCGACGCCTTCCAGCTCGCCGACGGACTCCAGTACATCTTCGCCCACGTCGGACAGCTCACGGGGATGTACCGGTGAGCACTTGCGGAAAAAGCGGCAAACATCTGCAAAAACTCTTTAAAATGCAGAAAATCGCCGGAAATGCCCCCGGCCGCCGCTCCCGAGCTGCCTGTACACCTGAAACCACGCGTTCGCGGCTGTGTTGGCGCTTTCGCAGTAAAGCTCGGGAACTTGTTGAATTTGCGGGGTTTTGCTCGTGACCAGTGCCTTTGTGGGATTTCAGCCGGAGTTGAGCGTTCCAAGTTTCCGGATCGCCCGGAAAGCTGGAGCTCTAGCGGATTGATTTCGGCGGGCGTTTTCGCGCTTTGTGGCTGCAGGTACAAGTACCGGCTGATGCGGCAAGTGCGGATGTGCAAGGACCTGAAGCACCTGATATACTACCGGTTCAACACGGGGCCGGTGGGGAAGGGCCCCGGGTGCGGGTTCTGGGCACCCGGGTGGCGCGTGTGGCTCTTCTTCCTGCGCGGAGTGCTGCCGCTGCTGGAGCGGTGGCTGGGAAACTTGCTGGCGCGGCAGTTCGAGGGGCGCGTGTCGAAGGGCACGGCCAAGACGGTCACGAAGCAGCGCGTGGAGTCCCACTTCGACCTTGAACTCCGCGCCGCAGTCATGCACGACATCCTCGATCTCATGCCCGAGGGAGTCAAGGCTTCGAAAGCAAGAACTATTCTGCAGCACCTTTCCGAGGCCTGGCGCTGCTGGAAGGCCAACATCCCCTGGAAGGTCCCCGGGCTCCCTGCGCCCATCGAAAACATGATCCTCAGGTCACCAAACCCTAAACCCTAAACCCTGGCTCGGGACTGCGGCAGCGGGCGGCTGAGTGTTCAGTGGGATGCGGCGGTTGTTGATTCTAACTTGAATTCTGCTTCAGCTTTGCTTTTCTGAATGAAGTTGAGTTCTGCTAAGTTTGTCCAGAATGGCTTTTCACTTTCGCACTTCTGAATGCAGGCGGAATCTCTTTTTTCAACTTTCTCGTTTCTGCATTAAGTCGAAATCCTTTTCAAGTTTCCATTTTTGAATGAAATCTATTTCAACTTTCTCGTTTTGGAATGAAATGAAACTGTGTTTCAACTTGAACATCTCGGAATGAAGTCGAAATCTTCTCGAACTTGATGTGTCGGATTGACATGAAGTTGTTGTTCAACTTGTGCACTTCTGAGTGGAGTTGTTTTTCAACTTGATCGTTTCTGAATGAAATAAAATTGTTTTTCAACTTGTTCATTCCCGAGTGAAGTGGAAATCTTTTCAACTTTGTTATTTCTGAATGGAACCGAAATCTTGTTCAATATTCTCATTTCTGAATGGAATCGTAATCTCATTCAACTTGTTCACTTCTGAATGAAATAAAAACCTCACTCAACTTGTTCACTTCTGAATGAAATAAAAACCTCATTCAACTTGTTCACTTCTGAATGAAATAAAAACCTCACTCAACTTGTTCACTTCTGAATGAAATAAAAGCCTCATTCAACTTGTTCATTTTTGAACGGAGCCTCTCTTTTCCGCATTCGTCACTGCGGAACGAAACGTCTCTGGATTTCCCGCGTTTGAGTCCGGGAGCAGAAAGTTCGCAGCAGCGCGTGGACGTTGCGCCTGCAGCTGCATGCATTTGCGTGCATTTGCATGCATTTGCGCCTATTTGCACGTATTTGCACGTATTTGCACGTATTTGCACGTATTTGCATGTACTTGCACGCGTTTGCATGCACGTGCATGCAGCTGCACGGTGTGCACGGGCGTGGCTGGGCGCAGGTACGTGAAGATGAAGGCGGACTGGTGGACGAACGCGGCGTACTACAACCGCGAGCGAATCCGGCGGGGCGCGACGGTGGACAAAACAGTTTGCAGAAAGAACTTGGGGCGGCTGACGCGGCTGTGGCTGAAGGCGGAGCAGGAGCGGCAGCACGCGTACCTGAAGGACGGCCCGTACTTGAGCGGCGAGGAGGCGGTGGCGATCTACACGACTGCGGTGCACTGGCTGGAGTCCCGGAGGTTCACGCACATTCCATTTCCGCCTCTGAACTACAAACACGACACCAAGCTGCTGGTGCTCGCGCTCGAGAGGCTCAAGGAGTTCTACTCCGTGAAGAGCCGGCTCAACCAGAGCCAGCGCGAGGAGCTGGGGCTGATCGAGCAGGCCTACGACAACCCCCACGAGGCTTTGTCGCGGATCAAAAGGCACTTGCTGACGCAGCGAGCCTTCAAGGAACTGCGCCTCGAGTTCATGGACCTCTACTCCCACCTGGTCCCGATCTACGAGATCGACCCTCTCGAGAAGATCACAGACGCGTACCTGGACCAGTACCTTTGGTACGAGGGCGACTCGCGGCATTTGTTTCCCTCTTGGGTCAAACCCGCAGACGCAGAGCCCCCTCCGCTGCTGGTGTTCAAGTTCTGCCAGGGCATCAACAACCTCACTGACGTCTGGAACACCGCGGACGGCGAAACCCTCGTGCTCCTCGAAAGCAAGTTCGAAAAGGTCGAACCCCAATTCAGGGTTTGGGGTTTCGGGGTTCGGGGTTCGCCGCAGGGGGCGCGGGCTGCGCGCGCTTCGTCCGCGGCGCGCTGGCCTGGGGTTTAGGGTTTGGGGTTTGGGGGCCGCGCTCCCGCAGCGAAGGCAGAGCGCACCAACAGTCGCCCCCCCCGCTGCTGCTGCTGCTGCTGCTGCTGCTGCAGGTGTACGAGAAGGTGGACCTGACGCTGCTGAACCGGCTGCTGCGGCTGATCGTGGACCACAACATCGCGGACTACATAACGGCGAAGAACAACGTGGGCGTGAGCTTCAAAGACATGTCGCACGTGAACTCCTTCGGACTCATCCGCGGCCTCCAGTTCTCCTCCTTCGTCTTCCAGTACTACGCCCTCGTCCTCGACTTGCTGCTGCTGGGCCTCACCCGCGCCACCGAGATCGCGGGCCCCCCGGCGCTCCCGAACGAGTTTCTTTCCTTCCCAGACGTCCAGACCGAGACCCGCCACCCCATCCGCCTCTACTGCAGGTAGCTGCCTGCCTGGCTGCTGGCTGGCTGGCTGGCTGGCTAGCTAGCTGGCGGGCTAGCTGGCTGGCTAGCTGGATAGCTAGCTGGCGGGCGGGCCAGCTGGCTAGCTAGCTGGCTAGCTGGCGGGCTTGCTGGCTGGCTGGGGGGGGCGGCGGGGGAGCTCGCTCCGCATGGGGGCTGGCTGGCGGGCTGGATGGCTGGGCACCTGGGGAGCTCGCTGGCTCGGGAGCTAGCTAGCTAGCTAGCTAGCTAGCTAGCTAGCTGCCCAGCTAGCTAGCCAGCTAGCTAGCTAGGTTGGCTAGCTGGGGGGCTGGCTCTTGAATGGTGTGGTGTGTGTGTGTTTGGGTGTCTGTACACCGCAGGTACATTGACCGGTTTTGGGTGGTGTTCAAATTCACAAAAGAAGAAAGTCGAGATTTAGTCCAAAGATATCTGACGGAGAACCCGGACCCCAACAACGAAAACGTCGTGGGATATCCCAACAAGACTTGCTGGCCCAGGGACTGCAGAATGCGCAGGTAAGCCCTAAACCCTAAACCCTAGCCGTCCGCAGCAGGGGGTCCGCGGGGTCTTCGAGTCTTCGACTTCGGTCCCACAAGTCCATTTCTTTTGGAAACTTTTGAAAATTGGGTTTCCTGAAGTTCAGGAATTGCTGAAATGGTTTTTTTGTGTTCAAACTTAAAAGTGGAAAACATGAAAGTTCTCTCTTGCTGCTGCACCTTCCCACGAACACCGAGGGCAGCAAATAGCTTTTCTTTGCTGCTTCCATGTCTTTTAAAATTAAGCAGATACATCCACAAGACCTGCACCTACTGCTGCTGCTCTGTCGCTGCTGCTGCTGCTGCTTTTTCTGCTGCCGCTGCTGTTTCTGCTGCTGCTGCTCTGTCTGCTGCTGCTGCCCTTTCTGCTGCTGCTGGATATAGTCACTCTGCACAACCATTGGAGCGGCGGGATGCAGGGGGCCTGAATTGCTGGAGTTGTGTTTGTTCGTTTGTGGGGTTAGGATGAAGCGGGACGTGAATCTGGGTCGGGCAGTGTTTTGGGAAATGGCGAACCGGCTGCCGCGGTCTTTGGCAACGCTGAACTGGACTTCTTCTTTCGCGTCAGTGTACTCCGTAGACAATCCGAACTTGCTGTTCAGCATGGGGGGCTTTGAGTGTCGGATTTTGCCGAAAGTGCGGCTACAGACGGAGCAGTTTCTGCAGCGGGAGGGGGTCTGGAAGCTGCAAAACGAGTCCACGAAAGAAATGGCGGCGCAGGCCTTCCTGAAAGTCGGAGAAGACGGCATGCGGAGGTTCGAAAACAGAGTCCGCATGGTCTTGATGTCCAGCGGGGCCACGACGTTCACGAAGATCGCGAACAAGTGGAACACCACTTTGATATCGCTGATGACTTACTTCCGGGAGGCGGTGGTGCACACGGAGGCGCTGCTGGACTTGCTGGTGAAGTGCGAAAACAAAATCCAAACGCGCATCAAAATCGGACTCAACTCCAAAATGCCTTCCCGCTTCCCCCCCGTGGTCTTCTACACGCCCAAGGAGCTGGGGGGGCTGGGCATGCTGTCCATGGGGCACATTTTGATTCCCCAGTCCGACTTGAGGTACAGTCAGCAGACAGAGTCGGGGATAACGCACTTCAGGTCGGGGATGTCTCACGAGGAAGACCAGCTCATTCCCAACTTGTACAGATACTTGCAAACGTGGGAAAGCGAGTTCGTTGAGTCGCAGCGCGTGTGGGCTGAGTACGCGTTGAAACGCGCGGAAGCTGCTGCGCAAAGTCGCAGATTGACTCTGGAGGATCTCGAAGACAGCTGGGATCGCGGGATCCCGAGGATCAACACTTTGTTTCAGAAAGATCGCCACACGCTCGCCTACGACAAGGGCTGGCGAGTCCGCGAGGACTTCCGCCAGTTCCAGCAGCTCAAAGCCCACCCCTTCTGGTGGACTCATCAGAGGCACGACGGCAAACTCTGGAACTTGAACAATTACCGCACTGACATGATCCAGGCCCTCGGGGGAGTCGAAGGCATCCTCGAACACACCCTCTTCAAGGGCACCTACTTCCCCACCTGGGAGGGGCTCTTCTGGGAAAAGGCCTCCGGGTGGGCGTTTAGGGTTTAGGGTTTAGGGTTTAGGGGCTGGGGGCTGGGGGTGGGGGGTGGGAGGGGAGCGGGGAGGAACTCGGAGGGTTGGGGGTTGGGGTTTGGGCTTGGTTGGGAGGGTCGTTGGGGCTTGGAGCACGGTTTAGGGTCTAGGGTTTAGGGTTTAGGGAGGGTTTGCTTCCAGATTCGAGGAGAGCATGAAGTACAAGAAATTGACCAACGCGCAAAGATCCGGATTAAACCAAATCCCTAATAGGCGGTTCACGCTTTGGTGGTCCCCCACAATCAACAGGGCCAACGTCTACGTCGGGTTCCAGGTGCGAGGGTTTAGGGTTTAGGGTTTAGGGTTTGGGAATGCTCCGGCGGGCCGCCACGGTGGCGGTGGCGGCTGGAAGCTCATTTGAGAGGCCGGGGGAACTACAGCGTTGCAAGGCTGGCTTGACAGTTTAGGAACTAGGGTTTAGTGTAAGGGTTTAGGGTTTAGGGTTTAGGGTTTTCGCGCAGGTGCAACTGGACTTGACGGGCATTTTCATGCACGGGAAGATTCCGACTTTGAAGATATCTTTGATTCAAATCTTCAGAGCTCACTTGTGGCAAAAAGTCCACGAGTCAATTGTAATGGACTTGTGCCAAGTAAGAGGGTTTGCAAAAAGAGAAAAAGGACAAAAGAAAGGGTTTGGGCCCCTGCAGCTGCTGGATCACGCAGTGGACTATAGGTCACGACTTGGTTTTGAGGGTTTAGTCGCGGGTTTTGAGGGTTTGCGGTTTCTGGGGCAGCAGTTGGCTCTCTACGTGTTTTTTTCGTTGTTTCTTTGGTGGTTTTGCCTGATATTTTGGTCCTAGGGTTTAGGGTTTAGGGT